ATAGCCCTGTATGGCTAATGGTAACCGTATTGGATGGCACAGAGCTAGACCATACTTAGGCTAAATCATGACATCTCCAAGCTATGTACTGAAACTTTTATTTATTTTTAAGATTTTTATTTATTCATTTGACAGGGATAGAGAGAGAGCATGCCAGAGAGCACAAGTCGGGGCATATGGCAGAGGGAGAGGGAGAAGCAGGCTTCCCAGTGAGCAGGGAGCCCGATGTGGGGCTTGATCCAGGACCCTTGGATCCTGCCCTGAGCCAAAGCAGACACTTAACCGACTGAGCCACCCAGGCGCCCCTGCACTGAAACTTTTAGAAGAAGAAGATGTATGAACTATTCTGTTATGAATAATGCATCCTTAATTTGAGAGAAGTGGCATAAGTTTCTTTCTGATCTGAGGACATTTTCTTTTACTACAGCAAATATGTGTTGCAGTCATTTCTTTGTATTTAGTTTTTCTTTTGAGGAAAGTGACCATATCTCACACTATGGTCACAATAGGTGCTATATTTTAAATGAATATGCTAACGAAATAATTATGCATCATGTACTTGGTATTGCTGGGTAGGAATGTTAATCATTGAACTCTGAATTAAGGCTCAAAATTTTAAATTGGGAGATAGACTAACAATAAATTTGGAGATAGACTAACCCAGCAGAGAGAGGTATAGGCCAGGTTTTGTTTATTTTTTGTTTCGTTTGTAAAATGTAGAGCCTGGCTATTTATAGCCTCATAGGTTTATAGAAAAAGAAATGGCCAATAAATGCTTCTCTGGAAACAAATCAAAAAGCCATTTATACATGTCACAGTAACAAAAGCACATGGGAACCACACCTGTTTTATTCTTGGTTCTCCTATGTATTTCCTGTGATTTTGAACAAGTTACCTAACCTGCTCAACTTAATTCAAAAACATTTATTAAACACCTCTCTGTGTAAAGCACTGTATAGGCACTGTAAGGAATATGAAGGTATATAAAACATGCTTTCTATCCTGTAATCCTCTTCCAGTGCAAGTTGTGATTCTAGGTACTGTTTCAATCCTTAATTCTAAAACAAATTCTCTGCAGTTCAAAAACGGATCTGGTACCTCCACTTCCTGTGACCCGTTCTTCAGATGCTCAGGGTTCTGGTGGCTCCACGGTTCATCAGGTTGGTAATGAAGTTTTAAGGTGTTGGTACTGATGACAATTTTTCAGAAGTACTTTTCTGAAAGGTCTTTTGGGGGAAATAGAGCAATGAATCTCTAACTTCACTCTGAGATTCTGTAATTTTAAAAGAAGGTATACAGAGTGTGGAAGAAGGAAGGAGGGTTACATGATCAAGGCAAGGCACAACGTGGGTAGAGTTATGTTAGAAGTGAGAGCTAGAGCTAGTGCAAGGTCTCAAGTGATCTGATGCTTGGAGCAAAGCCAAGGATAACAGAGATGATAAGATTGTTTGGAACCAGAATGAAGAAACAATGGTTTCACTAATTAAAAAAAAAAAAAAATTCTTTTAGATATTTTTTGAGCCAGAGAAGCAAGGAGAAAGTGATAGACTCACAGCAGGGCAGATGTTCTATTGTTAACTAATGGCAGACAGAATTACTCAAGTCCTATTTTATTTCTGTCTTCTCCATCAAAGAGAATTACTTTTGTTCTGGAAATGTTTAAAAAAATGTGGTTAAAAGGGAATTCAAGGACATAGTAGAGCATCTAGCTGCCTTAACAAAATCAATTTAATACTCAGCTGAATTAGATATATCAGGAGAGCACTGTCACAAACATATTGCAGCAAGGTGTTTAACACCATCTCTCATGGTAAATAAGAGGAAATAGTAGGTTGTGTAAGATCATTGGATGGATTTATATCTGGTTAAACCTTCACTCTAAGAACAAAGTTGATGTTTATAATGGATCAATGTCAGCCCACTGTTCGCAGTGCGTGGTTTTCAGTTTTTAGATCCTGGATCCCTGTGGAAAGCAGTTATAACTGCTGTTTCTGTCCCATAAAAATGCATGTAAGCACATGCATAGTTTTGTATGTAAATTCAGGGAGTTTATGGACAACTTAAGAAAACAGACTCCAGCGTTACTTGTCATATGCTGCCCTTTGTTTCTCCTGATACATTTTTGTCATTGACTTGAGTAGGGACAGAGAAGCCTATGCTGATTTAACTTTGAGGTTTACAAGGAGGAAGTTTATTAGAAAACACTCTTAGGATCAACACTTGGGAAGTGAAAGGCAAGAGTGGAAGTGTGTGGTGTACTCCCAATAAAGCATCAGCTGATTCCACAGGGAGCTCTAGAGCTGAGATGGTCCATCCAATCCCTCCCACCTGGACACAAAGCTCTTGGGCCTTTACACACTCAAATTCACCATGGAGCAAGTCACTTGATAAGGGGTGCCCTGGGGGAGTTTCTGGGGAAGGGCTCAGTTTTTGAGCTGTAGGGCAGCCAACACTTCCAGCAGCTGGGGGAGTGAATGCCTCAGTCCAGAATGGAGATCAAGGTAGTTGATCCCAACTTCCACCAAAGTCTGCCTCATTTTTGATTAGATAGATCTGGGAGAGCTAACAGGTTGCCCAAACAATTTGTTTCAAGTCAATAGTTTTAAAAAATTTATATTCAAGATTAGTTTAGGCTTTGCGTTCAGATTGACCTGCATTTTTGTCTCCTTGTCTCCACATAGCACTTGTGTGACTTTGGACAAACCGTTTAACTTCTAAACTTTAATTTTTGTACAATGTAGGTAGTAACCCTGTTAAGGTTACTATGAGGATAAATAAGCATTATTTTTCAGAACTTTTTGAAGTTGGACTCAGTACAAATAAGAATCTTATCGTAGTTTTGCTTTTCCAACTACTCTAGACTCCCTAATCACCATCACTTAGGAATCTCCAACTTAGGCACATTGAGAGAATAGCTCTCACTTTGCTCCGTACAAGAACAACTCCCGTGCATCTTCTTACCAGTGGCACTGACTGATTCTAAGCTTGTCTCTGTGACACCTTTGACTTTGAATTCAACAAACATCTAATGAGCAGATGTAGAGTGACAGGCACTCGTTGGGTAGTCAGCAGACTAGTCTATAGGCTAAATCTGGTCTGCCTGTTTTTGTACAGCCCAGGAGCTGATAATGGCTTTTCCATTTTTAAAGGGCTCTTTTAAAGGGCGGGGGGCGGGGGGGCAACATGTAACAACCACCAGATGTAGTCCACAGTCTGGCCCTTCACAGAAAAATGTTTGCTGACTCCTGGCCTAGACATGTAACACATAAAACAGGGAAAATTAAAAAAATTAGTAACCATTACAAAGAAACAAAGGGCTGAGTTAGCAAATCAACAGGTGACCTCACCTTACAGAGATGAGTGGTCAAAGAAAGCCATCTCAGAAACCGAAGTGTAAAGCTGAAACCTTGCAGGGGACGAGCCACCCATGTGCAGAGGGAAGAGCGTGGGAGAAAACAGTCTGTAAAGGGCCTGAGTGTTTGAGCTGAAAGCCCTGTGTGGTCTTGGCCTGGTGGGGGTTGGGGCCGATAACACAGGGCTTTAGACACCACGGAAGTAGTCTGGATTTTATTCTAAGTGCCAAAAAGAACCCATTGATCTGGCTGCCATGGGAAGAAAGGACTTGAGTGACACAGGGAAGCAGCAAAGCTGCATGTCCTAGTTCTGCCAGGGTGCCAGAGGTCTGGTAGTGGCTTGGCCTGCCTCCACCTCACCTCACCTCACCTCACCATGCAGAAGGCTGGTAAAAGTGGGATGGATGAGGGACTCTGATTCACTTTATTTCCTTAAGATAGCAGGCAGAGGGGACAGGGTTAATGGTAGACTAATTTACAAGGTAGTGGCTTGTTTTAGGTAACCTCCCTGCTCCTTTTCCAACTCCTGTATTAGCTTTCCATCCCCCTGCACTGACACACTACAGGGTCCTTATGATTATCTAGAAATCTTCCATTTCCAAGATGTCTCACACTCTAAAATCCTGATTCAACCTTGGAGCTTAGTTTAGGAATAACTACACAGAAAAATGACACTTAATTGGCATGCTTGACTAATTTTTTTTTTTTTAAAGATTTTATTTATTTGACAGAGACAGTGAGAGGGAACACAAGCAAGGGGAGTGGGAGAGGGAGAGCAGGCTTCCTGCTGAGCAGGGAGCCCGGTGCGGGGCTCAATCCCAGGACCCTGGGATCATGACCCGAGCTGAAGGCCGATCCTTACCGACTGAGCCACCCAGGCTCCCCGAGGACTAATTTTCATACATAAAGCATATTATGCATGTTACTATGATTTAACATTAAAGATTTAAAGTCTTCATGTTATAACTTGAGTATTGAACTGCTTTTGATATTGTGAAGTTTAAATTTTGTGATTTGAGGTCTTGATTTCTGATGTATTAATAAAACTGATTTCACTGTTCTCTGAATCTTTTGAATATTATTTTTTCCTAGAGAAGAAATGGATCTAAAGATAGCCTGATTGAAGAAAAATCTCAGACATCTACAAGCAATCTAGCTGGAAAACACACGGCAAAAACAGTCAAAACTGTCCAAGCTTCACGCCTCAAGATAGAGACTTGACGATGCCCGGGAAGAAGGGCCTGGGCTTGGGGGTGGAAGGGGGTGTGCCACCTGTACTTTCAAACTGTGAATTGTAATTATTCAAGTATCTTGGACCTGCAAGTGTTTCTTCGGAAAAAAAAAAAAAAAATCAAACCTTTTGCGTCTTTTGAAGGTTTAACAGCATTATTTGTGCTTAAGGGCCCTTTTTTTTTGGTAACTGGAATAGTCTTGTGAAAACTCATTCACTTGATGCCCTGTTTTCCTTCCTGGAAACTCCAAGTATCTTGTGTCCACGACCAAGACCAGATGCTTCCAATCAAAGCTCTGGAACCCGGGTGTGCAGCTGCCTAGCTGTGCAATAGCACACCAAGTGGATGAAAAGGTCCTTCCCAACTCGAGGTGGTTCTCAGCCTGTGCACAGATGTATGAAGACTGACACATCACTTTCAGACTGCAGATGGTTTTTATTTCATATAAATATGTTCTTTGTAATACTGTATTTTGTGGTATTAAGTTCCACTGGTTATTTACAAATGTAAAAAGCTTTTAAGTGTTGCTTTTAATTTCTACTGTCCTTGTGTTTTCAGAAAACAGACTGCGTGGATTTCAGTTGACCTCAGCTTATAAATTCACAACCCTCAACCACAAATGGTCCCTCCATCCTGCCTAGCTACCTAACTCCCCAAAGACTAATTCATTTGAGGGTGACTATCACGGGGAAAATAGAAATACTCATGCAGGACATTTCACCACCTCCCTCCCACAAATTTCTCCAGAGCTGCCACCAACACTAGTCTGTCCCTGCACCTGTGCTTTGGAGCCCAATCTCCTTCAGCCTTATCCCTATCAACTTACTCCTCTCAGCTAGACCCTTGTGACTTCGTTTTAAACTGTTAACTCTCCCACCAAAAAAAAAAAGCCAACCAACTTTCACAACCACAAATCCCTCCCCAGTTATCTTTCTCTCTTCAAGTTTCTTGAAAGGGTTATTTGTAGCCTGTGTCCTCAACCCATCTCCTAATCCTGACTTTAAACCAAGACTCTCCCCCACTGCTCCACTACAGACGTCACTAAAACTGCTTTGTGTACCAAAGCCTAAGGGTAACTTTTGGGCTGCCTTGCAACATTTTTAGTGCAGTATTCCATTGTTTTCTACATTTCTGACCATCCTTTACTGCTCTTCAGTAAGATGCTATTCTACCTCGCCAATTTCTCACTCAAAAGCTCAGTCCTCTCCCTCTAGGTGGATCTCATTTATGCCCGTAGCCTTAAAAAAGTATTCCTATAGCTTAGTCTATAGACCAGTGTTCTGCCAGAAGGCCACTTAAAAGATGTCTCAAAGGCAATCCCAATTCAACTAGTTTAAAATGCTGCTCTCTAGCAGGATTTAGGACCATTATGCTTGTGAAAGTGCAAGACTACACACCTACCAGTCGTTATAGACACCTCCCCTATTACCAAGTCCTGTGAGCTTTGCCCTCTACACCTAATCTCCACAGATTTTACCACCCCGGGCCATGGTGGTTGTCTCTGGCCTAGGCAACTGCAGTACTCTCCAGCTGGTCCAGCACAGCCTTTCTCAGACGGGTATTAACTACCCTAGGTTTCCCCTTGCAGTAAACAAAGCCGTAAATGATCTGGTCTCTTACCTGTTATTTAGGCTCGTTTTGTTATACTCGGGGCTCAGCTAACAGCCACCTTCAAGCCTCATTAAGCACTCATTTATAAATCAGGACACTTCAGAGGGAAAGTAACTACAACTATCACAAATCTGGACCTTTTCTAGCCCAAGGCCTCTGCACATGCCATCCCCAACTTTGCCTTGCAAAAATGACACCTACCTTTAGGCTCAACCGCTTTCTCAGGTTTCTCTGTCTTAGTCAACTCATGCATGGGACTTGTCTCACAAAGTAAGTTTTATATTTGCGATGACATTTCTGCCATTCAACTCTCAGCTTCCAGAGGGAGGAACTGTTTTGCTCACCCTTGTGTTCCCACTTCCTAGTACATTAATGAAAAGTTCAATAAATTTTTTGAATGCTCAGACTATTTGTTCTTTCCCGAAAAGTGAAGGCAGAGGATGTGCTGACTGCCATCTAGTAAAAATAAAAATGCAGTGACAATGTAAAACACCTGTGACCTAGAAACCAGCTAGTCTAGTTCAGTTCATCATGCAGAAGGCACTGAAAGAAAGCACTTATTTCTCCTTGGGTGTAGCATAAACTTCTATCTCACAAGGCTATTCTTAACTGGTTGCACTGAATACTAATCTTAACTACTGAGATTTAACCATTTTGAAGTTGCTGGGGGAGGAAGGAGAAACCCTCCCTCCTTTCCCTTTGATCTTTCAGTGAAGAATGCTATTTGCCGGTACTTAATTACTTAATACACAAGCCTCCACGAAGCACAATATTTATTTGTAGCCCTACTGTTTTAAGTGTGTTTTTATAGACTGTCCAAAAGCAGTAATTTTAGTACCCCTCAGGCTCCTGGGAGTTTTAAATGATCCAAGCAACTCTCGTCAAGATTTCCTATGTTTTTGAATTCTTCATCAAGGACATCCTGAAAAACAAAATAAAGCATTCAATTTGACAAGCAAATATTCACCTGTATCATCGCTTAATTAAACAATTCATACTCCTCTGAATTGCATTAAGTTATGCAGGTCTGGACTCAGCTTTAAATGTCCACATACAACATACCAGAGATTTGGCTAAGTGTTTGAAATTTAGGTACTACACACAGAAACACGTTATCTTAAAATTTCAAAAATAAGCTAGGAGGGCGCCTGGGTGGCTCAGTTGGTTAGGCGACTGCCTTCGGCTCAGGTCATGATCCTGGAGTCCCGGGATCGAGTCCCACATCGGGCTCCCTGCTCAGCAGGGAGTCTGCTTCTCCCTCTGACCCTCTTCCCTCTCATGCTCTCTATCTCTCGTTCTCTCTCTCTCAAATAAATAAAATCTTTAAAAAAAAATAGAACTAAGTGATCTTTAAAAAAAAAAAAAAATAAGCTAGGAACAGGCCACCCTATTTGCTGTTAACTTCACCTTGTTGACTACAGATGTTGCAGTACTAATACTAATTTAAGTTAACACCGATGAGAAAAGGAACCCCAATCTAGAAAGATAAAATTTGCATTAGGAGTAACTGCTTTAGGACAGAACTACAAGGTAGCATCACCCTACCTTAGGTCACCTTTGTGCTCTGTGTTCAGCTGGCAGCAGTCTTTGCTTCAAGCATCCAGCTTTCACCTGCACAAAATTTAAAAACCGTTAAGAAAAACTACACACACCTCATGTTGGCAAACTCAAGAGCACAGGTGTAAACTAATGTAAAAGCATCAATTGTTACTTATGCAGCTCCTACACCAAAAATACCAAATTCAAGGGCAGGAAAGAGCTGCAAAGTGTTTAGTTTATGCCTTTTTTGACACCACATTCACTAGTTTCCAAAAGTGAACGGGCAACACAAAGGCTACAAGAAAACCGCATAAGGACTGCTCTATCTATGGCACAAAGTTGCTGACCCCATAATGAACTGTTCTGTGGGTTAGAGCTGGAAAGGGAATAATTCCAGCTGTAGATTTTCCTTTACAATTCAAACCCCAAACTAGGTAACGAGAACTGCAATTTAAAATATTTTACGTGGTTAAAACTTTCAAGCTGCGAGGCAACTGGTTTTTCTTGCACTAACATGCAAACTCACCTGCAAAGTTGAGGACACTCTCGCCGAGTTCTGCGTCTTGAAACAATTATCAAGATCTAAACCTTAAACGGCACTTTACTCCTACGCTGACTTGATCTTAACTGTGATGCCGTAGGCATACATGCCTACCTATGGTGAGGCCTTTCTCTTTCACACGAAAAAATTCCCCGCTTATATGAGTATCTCCCTGACACTCAGTCGATGACCAATAAAATCAAATGCACTCAAACCCATCCATCTCCCATTTCCTGGCGTGGGTGTACGCAGCCTGGGAGCCGCTTCGGAGCCTCCTACGGTCCACGCGCAACGTGGCCGAGGCCAGGCCGCTGCCCTCCGCCCTCCGCCCTCCACGGACTCAGGACACGGGATCCTCGGGGCCGGCCCGGCTGCGAAAGGCGTCTCACCACCCTCAGGGCGACCGAGCGCCCCTGCCCGGCGCCCGGGCGCGTTAGGGGCCAAGAAACCGTGCACGCCGAGGTCCCCGCCATTCCGGAAGACGGAGAGCAGCTCCACGGTAACCCGGCGCAGAAACAAGAAAGGCCTCAGACCTCTCCCACAATGCTTTTCTACGACTGGAAGGACCCACTGTCCGGGGGCCGCGGGGAGGACGGACTGTACCACCGGCCGCCGCGCCCTCGCGAGACGCCGCCGTGTGGCGCGAGGGCGAAGTGCGCAGTGATTGGCCGTGGGGCGGGGCTCCAGGGGGAAAGAAGACAGAGGGGCGAGGGCTTGTGGTTTTCCCTTTGCATTGTGCGACCAGTCCCTTCGCCCAGGAAGGTTTTCTCCCGTGTGGATGTGCATCCACCCCGCGCCCAGTGTCGGGAGCATGTGGTCAGCGCTGAGCTGCGGGTGTAGCTCAGAGGACTTGAGACCTCGTGTTCTTCAGTCTCCGGCTGAGGAAGAGTAAGGTCCTTCATTCAAAGACTAGATTTGTAGGGTACTTACTAGCTTCAGGCTCTGACCTCAGTGCCTGGGAATCAGGTGTGAATGAGCCCGACAGGCGTCCTGGCTTACGTTCTAGTTGGGCCAGAAAGGCACTAAACAGGTGATAGAAACAATGCGAACCACAAATTACATTTTCAGTGTTTGAACTGCCACAAAAAAGTAAAAAAGAACAAGTTAAATTAATTTCAGTAGTAACTTAACATGTAATCAATATAAAATCATTAATGATTAATGATATATATTAATGATATATTTTGCCTAAAAGTCCGGTGTATATTTTATACTTCCAGCACATTTCAGTTCAGACTAGTCACATTTCCAGTGCTGAGAAGCAGCGGGTGTGGCTGGAGCAGCCCGAGGAGCGCAGAACGGCCTAAGATGCAGCAGAAGAGACAGGTAGGAGCAAATCATATGAGGCTTTCTACTTGCGGTAGGAGTTGGGATTTTATGCTGAAATTTTAGAGTTGATTAATTATTACCATAGAAATAAAGCAGAGGTTGTTAATTGGCTTTTTGCCTGATAACCCTAACGCATTGAAGGAATAGAGACTGCAGTGAGATCTGCTGTGTGATAGCCAGGGGGTCTCCTTGCTCCTGTAGGTCCTAGCAGAGACTCATCAAGAGAACACATCCCAGCACCTTTCCTCGTTTCTTTGAAGCTAGTGAAAGAGAAAGAGAGAGAAGGAAGAAGGGAAAAAGAAAGAAAATTCAAGCCCGCAGCCCACACAAAGACTAGCCTGAATGGTAACAGCAACTCGGGGACAACTGGGGACAGACAGAAGGAGTAAATGTGTAATGATCACAAGAAAGGAAATAGCGCAGACCTTTATTAGGAAGTCACTGTAACATCTGGGGGAGAAAAGGTTGGGGAAGGAGGATACCTCTAGGAGTATAATGTCAAGACATTGAATGGTACAGTGTGGGGTTTATAACAAATCTCAATCTTGCCTTCTTGCTAGGGAACAGTGAGGGAGAGAAATTTCCCTTGGGCTGGAGCAGCCAGCAGACCTGGGTTTAAATCCAGCTCTGACACTTGTTCTCCTAGGCAAATAACCACCTCTTTGAGCCCCAAGGTTCCTCATTTATAGGATAATAACTATACCCATGAACCACATGTTAGTTTAAAGAATTAAGAAAGTCTTGTGGAATCATCTAACACCGTGTAATGCATAGTTAACATACAACAAATGACTCTCATGAGCTTGGCTCTTCCTCTTGTCTATTCCTGTCCCAGGTGTGGAATCTTCTTGGGTTGAGTTCTTAAGGAAAGGAGAAATATGTTGATGTTTTTCTTTTAATGGCTTGACATTTTTGTTCCCACCTTACACTTTCCTATTCTCCCCTTTATATTTCTTTCCCAAACTCTGGATGGTTCAAGAGTAGACAGAGGGGAGGCATTTGTTCCAATTATTGGATGAGTGTTGGTGTCAGGAAATCCATTCTAAATTCTTCATCTTTCTGTCTACTTCAAACTCACACAGCCTGATAAGGAAAATCCAATAATTAAACCAAGGCAAGCAGCATGGACAAAAGAAAAATGTAGAGGATATTTTCTGCCTAGTTTTCCCACCACCTTTGCCTACTGGGGCTGAGGCGTTACGTAAGGACGTGCAAGCTGCGTGTGGTGTTAGTGCAAACATGGAACAAGCTGGGGTTCCTTGTGCAGTAGGCAGTAAGCACGGTCCCCCAAAGATGTCCACGTCCTCATCTCCTGAGCCTGTGGATGTTTCATTATAGAGTAAAAGAGGCTTTTCAGATGTGATTAATGTTGGGGACCATGATTTGGAGAGAGAAAAATTGAAGAGGAAGGCAGAAGAATTAGAGATGTGGCAGAAGAGAAGGCAGGAGAGGGACTCAACCTTCTATTGCTAGCTTTGAAACTGGAGGAGGAAGATCTTTGAAGCCAAAGAATACAGTTTCAGCTCTAGAAGCTGGGAATGGCCTTCTGCTAACAGCAAGGAACCAGGGACTTCATTTCTACAACTGCATGAAACTGAATTCTGCCAACATCCTGAATGAGCATGGAAACAGACTCTCCCCTAGAGTCTCCAGAAAAAAGTACAGCCCTGCTGATGCTTTGATTTTAGCCAGTGATGCTCATGCCAGACTTCTGACCTACAGAGGTGTGATCATAAATTTGTGTTGTTTTAAGCTGCTAAATTTGTGTTAATTTGTTGGCAGCAAGAAAAAAAGCAACACACCCTGTAAGGGGCAGTGTGAGAAGTGAGCTGTTTTTCTTACCCCACTCCTTCTTGCCCCACTCCAGTGTTCTCATCAGGAACATAAGATTTTGCAGATAAGCTATGCACATTTCATTCTAACCATATAGAGTCAATATTTGTTATGGTGGGTGCTATAGATCCAAATTAATATCCAATAGATACTAAATAATTTGAATACTTTTTATAATTTCAAGTCATCTGTAAATTTTGGGGGGTTTTCTTCTTAAAAAATCATATTTCCTACAGAAGCTTATTTCTTCCTAATTCTTGTGTGAGTGTGTGTGTGTGTGTGTGTGTGTGTGTGTGCGCGCGTGGCAAAGAACGTCCAAACTAGGGCCTCTAGGACAGTGTCTAATAGGGAGATGATATTAGACATCCTTGTCTTGTCTGTGATTTTATTTTATTTATTTAAAAAATTTTATTTATTTACATGAGAGAGAGCGGCAGAGGGGGTAGGGTCAGAGGGAGAAGCAGACTCCCTGCTGAGCAGGGATCCTGATGTGGGGCTCCATCCCAGGACCCTGGGATCATGACCTGAGCTGAAGGCAGACGCTTAACCGACTGAACCACCCAGGCGCCCCTTGTTCATGATTTTAAAGGAATGCTTTTGAAGTTTCAGCACATATGTATGATGTGGATGACATTTTTATGTATTTCCTATTGTTCATCAAGTTAAGGGAGTTTCCATATATATCTAGTTTGCTAATAGTTTTTTTAATCATAAATGAATGTTGAATTTTATTAGATGTTTTATCTGCCTCTGTTGAGATGAATGTATTTTTTTTCTTATAATTTGTTCATGTGAATTGCATTAATGCAATTTCTTTTTTTTTAAAGGTTTATTTTAGAGAGAGAGAGAGAGAGAGAAGGCAGGGGGAGGGGCAGAGGGAGAGGGAGAGAGACTCTTAAGCAGACTCCGCATTGAGCCGGACACAGGACTCCATCTCGCTACCCTGAGATCATGACCTGAGCCAAAACCAAGAGTCAGATTCTTAACCACTTAACTGATTGCACCATCCAGGCACTCTGCATTAATGCATTTTTCTGATGTTGAACCAGTCTTCCATTTCTGAAAGAAACCAAATTTGTCATTTCAAAAAATATTGTTTAGAATTTTTGCACTTACATTTATGGATGAGATGGGACTGTGGTTATCTTTCTCATCCTGTCTTTGATAGTTTTGATGTGAAATTATACAGATACCTACTTAATATTAGTAATTTGTTTCTGAAAATCAGATGTTCTGTGCAAAAACCTTAACTGGGAGCCCATTTCTTTTTATTTTAAATGGTATAATTGTAATAAGTTACTTGTTAACCCAAACCAGTTTATTAAAAATGTAACTATAATATGGTAAGCAAACCTCTATTAAATAACAAAGTTTAACGTTGGGATGTAAATATTCATAACTTTGCTTCCTGAATCACTAAACAATATAGTTAACAAATAGTTGCTTTGTCAGCAGTAACATACTCCCTTTCATTGTTACTGCTTTTCTGCTTGGTTTTCTTCCTTCTCCATTGAATTCCTTAACACTTTCTCAACCTTTTTAGTTCTTATTCTATACAACTAGGGAAAAAAGGGCAATATGAAATATGAAGGGCACTGTGGAAATGTGACAGAGAATGATTCACACTGAGGATGATATTTTAATGTTTCTTTTATCACCAGTAGCATTTATATGGAATATCCCCTTCATTGATATTCAGGATGCTTTTTGATTTGTTGACATGATGTGAACATTTTACCAAATGTTTCTAATGCAACTCAAGGCATTTATTTCCTACACTTTTGTTGTTGTTATTGGTAAAAATGTTATATTGAGTTTGGGGTGCTAAATAAAATATTTCCTACATAAATCTCAGTTGAAATGTTGTTTTGAGAGATATGTATGTTGTATGACATTGGAGAATTAAATACGAGAGGGAATTTACTGGGAAAACATCAATCAGGGAAATGTTCTGTGGAATATGCCTGAAATGGCTTTATGAAATTACTTGGGTAACTTTTCCTCTTTTTCTCTTCTCCAAAAAATTTAAGATAATATCAGAATTAATTTTTTTAATTTAAAAAATAAACCACATACTTTTAAAACTATCTGGGTCTAGTATTTTCTTTGTGAAAAGAAGTTAAACTACTGATTCACTTTCTTTAATGGTTATAGGACCATTCAGGTTTTTTCTTTAGTTATGTTTGGTAAGTCTTCTTTCTAGGAACATGTCCATTTCTGCCATGTTTTCGAATTTGTTGGCAGAAAGTTGTTCATTATTCTTAGTATTTTTCCCTCATACCAACCAGTTCTCTGACTCTTTGACATCAACTGGGTGTCCAGTAGTTCCCTGGAATTAGCATCAGACCCCACAGGTTAGGAGC